GCTTGGCCTTATGAAACTTCATTTGCTGCGACACTCTTTGTTCGTGACTTTATAATCCCAGCAGATTCTTACGCTGGTTGTGTGGTTTCTATGGCTAAAATTAGCTATGGTTGATGTCCCAGGCAGAAGGGCTGCGCAGAATGTCGGCGGCGCAAAGTGAAGGCAATTCCTTCCAACTACCAATAATCAAGACGTGGGCCTAATCCTTATTTTCTAGTGTGGCGGGTCTACTTCCGAGTGCCTAAAGTGTGGTTAAAAGGGATTACAATGTTCTGGTGCTCGAACGGGATCTTTTTCCGTCCACACTCTATAGCCTCCATTAACGAGAGCTGTGACAAGGCATCTACAGTGCGCTGGGTACCCCAAGATGTTACTGAAATAACATCTGTAGTTGTATCAAATGAAGAGGATTCTTGGAGGCTTCACGGCCACCAGTCCAGTCATGCCAGCATCTTTGACCAGCTGTTCGTATTTCATTTCATTGAGCCGATTGGCTTCAAGGCTCCGGTTTCAGCGAGCTCGTCACCGACATAGCTAGATAATCTTTATGCTATAATTGTTTACCAAGGGCGAAATCTCGCAAAGCGTTTAATTCGTGCCGCCGCGGTGTATTTGTATGGCACTCTGGCCTGTGGCGTTTCTATTCAGACAGAAGCCTGCAAATCGTATTCAATGGCCCTGTGAGGATTGCTACGCAGATCGTCACAAAGCACAAATTATTTTACGGGTGATATGATCTGTACTGCGGCAATGCTCATCTATTCTGAAAATCTAGCTGGCACATCAGGGGCACTCTGGGTCGAGCATGTCCATGGCGCAACAATTCATGCTTGAAATGGGTGGCCCAGAGAGTTGCCAGAATAGATTTTTGCACCATCCTTTCCGTCAGACGTTTGACTGTAAGTGCGATCCTGTGAGTTTTGTGGATATTTTTATCTTATTGAGATGTTTTGCTGAGGAATATATCTATGCACAGTTTATCGTCGCGATATCAAGAAATGAGCAGCATGCGTTTACCTCGTGGACTCAATAATTATTGGCTTTTCTTGTCATATAAAGCTATGATTCTCCATGGGTATTCCCTGAATATCAATCTGAACTTTCTCAATTTCATCATAGAACTCATTGACCCTAAATTTATGCTTTTTCCGCCTTTTTCTACGTGTAAAAACTGAGAAGTGGGAGAAATATATATAAGAAAGATTATCAAAAAGAAATCGCTAGTCATAAACGGGCAGATATTCTTGAATATCTGACAAGACTACTAAAAAGACATCACCAGGCCACAGGTATTCTTATGGTAGGGAGTATAACCCAAACTGAATTAAGTCCAGAGTGGCATAGATCGTCCGCCGTACCTGTAATTGGTGGATTTGCAACAGTCTAGCCTAATTCGGTTAGTTTTCTATCCACGTTGGACTAACCTTAAAATGTGCCAATTTATTGGCGACACCTAGAGGCAACAGGGAAAGATACTCAGGCAGCCGCTTCGTAGTGAATTGGCGCCAGCCGTACGTTAACGCAATTTTGGAATTTGCCCACAAGACCCAGAACAGCAAGCATGAAATGGGCATATTGAAAGAACATTCTATGTATGCTAAAATGAAAATCATGGATGAGAGCGTAGTTCATAAGTTCTAATTGTTTTGTTGATTAACAGCTGTGACAGGAATCTTCTCTGGTTTCATGGGCAAACACATTCGCGCGGCGACGGGGTATAACATTGCAGATCATGTTGCGCGAGGGACTTCTATTGATAGTTGAAGGCAACTCAGGACATATTCGTGGCTTGCACTGGGATAAGGAGAGCAGCATAGTATTACCGCATATCGGTTGGTGGCAAGGGGGTCGTCCACTCCATAAGGTTGCTTGACATGAGGCTTTGGACTTCATATTTTGGCAACTACTTAATACGTTAATCACAGATGAAATGCTATCTTTTTATAGAAATATCTCCTTGAGGTGCCAGTCACTATAGCCATCCTACCGGAGACGCCGAGACGAGAACGTTCAATCCACACCGGGTCTTTAGATTTCTAAAGACGGTCGGCAATTATTTCCTCGTTAAATAGGGAGGCAGCCGATCTCCAGCGCCCGGGCAATTTAACGAGCATTCATAGGTAAGTAAGTGTGACTTTTGTTGAAAGCATATTGGCGCATGATAAGAGCATACCGTTAAAAGCGTAGGTAGCCTTGTGTGATAGGTCAGCAGGAAAAATATTCCGTCCCAAGTAGGCCCTCGCCTCATGGCTTGAGAATGATGCATCTGGCCTGGTTCACCTCAATTTAAATCCTAATTCAATTCTCCATTGGACCTGGACTCCTATATGGACTATGCCGTCTGCCCAACAGACACCAGAGACCCCAAATGGAAATTGGTTTCGATACTCCAGGATCCGAGCCTTACACATTTCAACCCCCGCTGCCACTTTTGGATGTTTGAGAGTTGAGAGGTGGGGTGCTTATCTGTGGTCTGAGCATTGGCGTTCACCTAATTCTGCCCCGAGCTAGAACAGATGAGCGATTTCTACGCAAGGAACCTTCATATAGTTAATCGGACGCGGAAAATAGGGGAAATGATCACGAAGTGTGCCCTGGCCAAGAGTGGCGTCTCAGCTAAGCTCAAAAGATTTCTCTGGGCTTTCACCCTGATTGGTTATGAATGACCCGATATCAAATTCTTACTTCCAAGGCCGGAACCTTGAAAGTACAGAAAGCCTTATCTTTATCTTGCCATCTGCCTGCATCGGGACAAACTACACTACGCCACGGGCAATTGAGCAATCCCACTTGATGCCTTGCTTATCACAGACGGACCACAGGTCAGGTATCTGGGCTGAACTTATATATAGATTGCTAGTCGCCGTCGATAAATTTTCTTGCCTGCGTTAGTTTAACATCCAAAACATGACTGCCATGGACTTAGACACTGAGAAGAAACCCGGCACTACCGTGGAGTCATCCGAAAGCCTCCCTCCAGCCGAAGATGATTTGGAGGTCGGTAAAATTAACCCGCTGAAGCGGAGTCTGAAGAACCGCCATATGCAGATGATCGCTGTTGGTAAGAATCCATTGTCAGTCTTTCCTTTTCTTCTGATACTAATTTCAGCAAGGCGGCGCTATTGGTGCTGGTCTTTTTGTTAGTACGGGATCTGCGCTCCGCACGGGAGGGCCTGGTTCTTTGTTGATATGCTACTTGGTTGTTGGAGGAATGCTTCTTCTTACAATCCAAGCTCTGGGCGAGTTGGCCGTGCTATATCCCGTGAATGGAGCCTTTTTCACATACTGTGTCCGGTTCATCAGTCCAGCCTGGTGAGTGTTCGGTGTTCATGTACTAAACTCATGATCAACTAAAACTGACTACTCATTTTATGATAGGGGATTTGCGGTCGGCTGGGACTACGCTATCCAATGGCTCATTATTCTTCCCTTCGAACTCACGGCCGCAAGTTTAACAATTCAATACTGGAGCGAAACTTTGAACAGTGGAATTTGGGTCGCCGTGTTTCTAGTCGTGCTAACGGCGATCCAATTCTTTGGAGTTCGAGGCTACGGAGAAGGTGAGGCTCAGCATTTATATGTCCTTTCGAGATACATTGGTACTAACCTCAGTCCACAGTCGAATTTGTGCTCGGAGCGATCAAGATCACTGCTGTCATTGGCTTTATTATACTTGGAATTGTGATCGATTGCGGTGGAGCCCCGAAAGGAGGCTACATTGGAGCTCAATATTGGGGAAATCCTGGTGCATTCACAGACTTCAAGGGGTTCTGTTCTGTCTTCGTGACAGCAGCCTTTGCCTTTGGTGGCACAGAAATGGCTGGTCTTGCTGCGGCAGAGGCAGCAAACCCTGCCAAGTCCATCCCAAAAGCATCCAAGCAGGTCTTCTGGCGCATCATGATCTTCTATGTCCTGGGAACTTTCATCGTTGGCTTGATTGTGCCTTCAAACGCCGAATGGCTTCTTGGAGCATCTGGCGCCAACACCAAGGCTTCTCCATTTGTCGTATCAATCCAGAATGCCGGTATCTCCGGGTTGCCATCTGTCATGAATGCAATCATCACTATCTCGGTCATTAGCGTGGCCAACTCCGCAACATATGCTTCCAGCCGTACTATCCAGGCTCTGGCTTCACGAGGAATGGCACCACGAGTCATGGCATATATCGACAAGGGAGGTCGTCCTCTTTACTGCATTATCCTGCAGATTATTTTTGGTTTGCTAGCTTTCGTCAATGAGGCACCATCTGGCAGCACCATCTTCAACTGGCTTCTTGCCTTGTCTGGTATCTCTGACTTCTTTGTCTGGGGAAGCATCTGCCTTGCCCATATCCGTTTCCGTTCCGCCTGGGCACATAACGGACACACCGTAAAGGAGCTTACCTATGCTGCTCCCTTTGGTGTAATTGGAAGCTATATTGGCCTAGGTCTTAACGTCTTGTGCCTCATCGCGGAATTTTATGTCTCTGTGGCTGCAAAAGATGCGGAGACATTTTTCATGAACTATCTTGCTGGGCCGCTTGTCATACTACTTTTCGTTGGCTGGCTTGTCTACACCAAGTTTAATAAAGATCCGAGGCTCGATCGTGGAGGGTGGTTCATCCCAATTGAGAAGATGGACATCAGCAGCTTTATCAGGGACTCAAGTCTTGATGTGGACCTTCCACCAAGAGTCGAGTATCCCACTTGGAGTGCTTGGCTCAAAGCTGCTCCAATGCGTATAGTTCGCTCAATCATTTGAGAGATGGAACGCCGTTCGCCGTTGATATAGTTTGCAGTCGGAATTGTAATATTGTTTGTCTAGGTGAAGTCAGAACTTTACATATCCCAAGATTGGAAAATACACCGTGCAGAACATCCTAGCTGTCCATGTATATATACCTCGATAGGCAATCGAAACGATGAATTTTGTATGACTTGCAACTTCACTTTTGGGAAAACGTCATCCCAGTCACCTTCCGTCTTTTTAGTTTCTCGCCCTGTCTATCACGCGCAATCCTTTTAAATCTCAACCTTCTCTAGCAGCTTCGCAACATTCTCATGCCGTGGCTTCAATCCGATTCGGAACGCCACTGGAGAACGCCCAGAGAGGCCATCGTATTCTTTCAAATCGATAGGCTCCTCTGGAATCTCGTACATATCGAATGCCCAGAGCATACGGGAGATTGTCAGCCAAATCTCGCGCTCAGCCACAATCATTCCAGGGCAAATGCGACGACTACATATTATTAATCGGGCGTTATGTTTTGTTTTAGAAGATGTAGTACTCACCCAGCTCCAAACATCCAGTGGTCTCTCTTCATAGGATCGGCGACACGGACACTATCAGCAGACGTCAATGGGTCATCGATATAACGATCCGGCTTTTGTTCATTTATTAGTAAGTACAGCTCCAAAGTAACTTCTTAGAAGTGACATACGTACATCGAATTTGTCAGGGGAAGAATAGCGGTCGGAATCAAAGTGCATAGTCCAAGTGTTAAGAACGACCACAGTACCCTTGGGAATGAAACTTCCTTGGTAGACGAAGTCCTCACTGGAAACGTGGGGAGTACCTAACCAGAAAGGATTGTGAACTCTCTCGACTTCCTTAACGATAGCGTGACAATAAGGAAGATTCTCTTCATCTTCAATGCCAGGGAGACGATCACGTCCAATGACACGATCAAGTTCTTCCTGGGCCTTTTTCTGGATTTCAGGATAGGCAGGGATAATAGCAGAGAACCATTGCATAATAGCGGCAGTCTGCATAAGGCGTCAGTGATGCATCGAACCAAGGGCATCATGGTGGTTACTTACTGACTCAACACCGCCAATCATGAAGGCTGACGCAAGGATTGCCATATCCAAATCATCAAGGTCTTCTTTATGGCGGAGTTCAATCATCGTCTTCGCTAAACAGTCCTCAACCTTTTTACCTTCCTTCATCTTCTGCTCAGTTTCCTTGATAAAGCCACCATATGTGTCGACCAAGCCTTTGTGCAGTCTTTTGGCACGCCTGTGCAATGGTGTCGGTAGATACTGCAGAATAGAAACAAAATCAATGAGATTTGACATAGGGCCGGTGCAGTTCCTATTAACTCAATTAGCTTGTTGGAAAGATGATTATATATTTCCGTAGGCCGTGCGCATACATAAATTCACGGCTGAGATTCAAGGCCCGTCCTACCAGGGGGTGATCGATGCTGTCCGCTCGGAAACCAAACGTGATAGTTGTCATATTGTTCAATGAGCAACGACCAGCATGAGGCTATATATATGAGTACTTGCTATTGGAACCGGTGGACCGGAATGGGTTACCTGAGGGCTCACGGAGACCAGGCCTCCTTTGCTTTCAATAAGCAATGCCTTTACCAGCGAGAGTGACTCGCGATCCAAGACAGGAGAGTAAGAGTCGACGGCGCGCTGGTTTAGCCATTTGGCTGCAATACGGCGGTGCTTGCGCCTTTAACCAGGGTAAGCGGCAACCCGTGTGAAGTTTAGAATAACCTTACCATCGGTCATTGTATGGAGTAGCAGTGATGCCTCGACCAGCAAAAATAGTTTGGCTTTTGATAAACATTACTTTGCGAGAAGAAAACACGTTCCCATTGGTAACCATGAGATCTTTGGCAATGTTTGGGTCAGAGATAATGACAAACAGTTGGTTTCCAAGCCAGATAGAATATAAGCCTCCGAACTTCTTCGCCCAGTAGTCCAGAGTCAACTCAGGATACCTAGTCAAATAGTAAAACGAACCTATAGTCATATGAGAAAAGAATGATTCACATATGTCAGCGGTAGACTTACCAAAGATTGGAAGCCCTACCGGGCCCTTAGGAATTTTGTGACCATGTCCGTCGGTCCAGGGCTTCCTGAACCAGGCAAGAAGCGATGCTCCAACAATTGCAGTGAATGTCCACAGGAATGGCGAGCTTGCTTCGGTCACAACGGTAAGTCCTACAACCCACGACGCCGAATCAACGGGCGAAGGACTAAGCAATATTTCAGTGCTGTTGTATATAACAGACATATCGGCAAGGTATTTGATAGGTTCGGCTGCAAGAGTTAATCGATGGGGAAATCACCGTTTTATACACTCTACAGATTCATACTCCCTCACACATTCCTGTGCACAAGGTGTAGGGTAACGATTTTCTTGGGACAACCGGAGTTCCGAATTAAGGACCATATGTATGAGGCTCACTCATTTCTCAATCCAGGCATTTTAATGATGTTGATTAGTATTTACGCCGAGGAGGCCTGGATGGTCGAATTTATGGCATTAGTAGCGCATAAGTAATTTGGCTAGAGAGGGTACGTATATAGTTTGGGTTTGGTTCTGGTACTTAATGCCGCAGTTCTTCGAACTTGTGGCAGCAGAGATTGTACCCACAACTGTAGGTCGTCTGAATTAGCCCTCCTGTTGGCGTGGCCCTTGGATCTCATAACCGTTTCCTTCCATCATGCACTCTCATATTGTAGCTATTGTCACTTTCCATTGGTCAGAAGAAGCAAATTCTTATCACCTTATAACCAAACTAGTTTAGTCCCAATGTGTGGGCCTATCGGCGTAGAGTCACGTTGTCTTACCCCTGCACAAAGGATCGCAAAAAGAACCTCGGAAAACCTAACAGAGCTTAGTGGAACCAAGGCGGCATCCAATATGGGCGACGAAGTTTTCCACGGCCAACGTTTACCCTGTAGCCTTGGCAGACTTGCCGTGAACACTAGCCGAGATGCCGTGATGGTGTTTAGAATGTCAGAGATTGTCTCGGCCGTAAGGAAACGCAAGTCGCATATTTGAGGCTGGTCGTACAACCAGTTTGACTATGAAACCCTCGAGGCTGAAACTTGATCTGCATTTTGGCTACCGCTATTACTAGTAATGTTGTACAGATCTTAGATCTGAACCTTGGAATTGACTTCCAACTTTGGAAAGTTCCGTAGATCCATGGCCTTAGCGACCCGTGCGGCCGGAGCGAGGCCTAATGATGATCGTATCTAAAGAGCCTACGGAGTACGGAGTACCGGTTCCGTATTAACAACGTTTTTCTTCCCTTTAGATAGGTGAGTCATTAAAACAATTAGTCATACTCGAGGGGGTCATTCTATGTTGTAGGCCCCCAAAACTCATCGGAATTCACATCCTGACACCTTGCGGTAGAAACAGACATTGTGATCTGCTCAACTTCCTTTTATTATTACAAAAAGGGATGTACCACATTATCATCCCCAGAAACCCCGTAGCATTCGAATATTGATCTAGCAACCTTGGGATCAAGGCGCATATAGCTCTATTTCGAGTTGCTAGCCTGGGGAAGAACAGGCTTAGCGGCCGGTGGAGTGATCCAGAAAACGGGATAACGGCGCTGGATGTTGTTCACGATCAAGGCCATAAGCAGGAGCATAGTTGACGAAAGTAAGACAACTGGCAGATAGTACCAAGAGAGCGCCCACACAGCTTCGTCCACTGCGGGAAGGAGGGCTGTGGCACCGGCTGGAGGATGAGTTGTGTTGGTAATTTGCATAACAACAATGGCAACGGCCGACGAAAGCGAAGCGGCTAGCCAGCGCAAAGAGTTGAATTTTTCTTCATCGGGCATTAGGCTGAAGAGTTTCGTGATGCAGATGCCGACCAGAGCACTCAGAAAATGGCCACCGATCAGAGCGCGTGGCTGTGCTAAAGGGGACTCAATAGCACCATAGATGAGGACTGCCGATGCTCCCTAATTTATAATTAGTGGTTGAGAAGGGTGTGTAGAAAGAGGGAGACGCACATAAGAAGCAATGATGCCTGGCACGCCACGTTCAATGAAGTAGGAAGAGTAATTAAATATAGCCTGGACTACACATAGACCGCAGAATGCGGCTATGAACGACCAGAAGTGAACGAGATATTTCGAGGGAGGCTTTGGTGCACCCTCACGATAGCCCAGCCAGTGGCTGACGGACGGAGGGAGGCGAGCCAAGAACTCTTTCTCGGAGATCATTGTTAGCCTTGGCGAAATGAAAATGACAAAGTATCGGATTATAGAATTAAGGTAAAATGTAGGACTGAAAAAGATTCAAATAGAAATGAACAAGGGGGATTATAAAGACCATAAGTTCACAGGAAAGACTCGGTCCGGAGACCAGGAAACTCCAAGGGCTAAGGATCTCGTTAGGTGACCGGGATTTGAAAATAAATACCTCGTCCCCAAAGCCCGTAGAAATAAATATACGTGAAGTGACCGAAATTCCATTCCTGGAGGACTCCGACGGCCCCCAACTAATGCGCCACCCCTGAAAGAATAATTCCGCGGGTTAATCAAAAATCTGACAGGGGAGCCTAGTAATCTTTTGACGCACTGTTCTTTGTCAATCAAAGCTTGCTCTTCTTGGCTGTTTTCCAGGCGAACTATGAGCGCCTTGGCATGGAGTGATCCACCAGCATTCTCAATCTATATCTTCCCTCGAAAAGAAGTCTGTGGGAAGAAAAGTAGTACGTACGCAGGTCACTGGCCAGACGCAATGCAATGTGTTACACGACTGGAACGGAACGTGCTTTTGCATGATCATGTTCAATCCGCTTCACTGATGTCTCTATAGGAGCTTTTGTGTGTGCTTTGCCTTGTCCACTCAAAGCGTCATGAGAAAGCTTCGCGATTTCTGTTCAACGCCATCCTGAAAGGCTAGGTCGCTGTCCGCGATAATCTTTCCCTCCTACAGGCTTCCGATATCCATGAAGATACAGGCAGTTAGTACGCTCCGCATTGACGGATTGAGATGACCATTGGCTTTGATTCATATGACTCGCACCACTGTGAATAAACACGGGTTACTTATTATTGCGAGGCAGGCGCTGAAGGTAAAAGGAGGGCGGGGATCGTGGTTAATTGTTCACGTGGTAAGTCAGAGAAAACCCATCGAAACTAGGCAGTCATGGCTAAGAATGTGACTGGTCAGATTGCAAGTGGAAAGACTGCAATCATTGGTGTGATGATCAAGAGCAACCCCAATGAGGGCAATCAAAAGGTGCCTCTGCAAAGTGCGAGAGAGTTTCAGCCTGGGATCAGTATTACCAATGCCTGCCTTTACTGGGGGACAACTGTGGATGTTCTGCAAATGCTGGAAAATGCTGTTCATATAGACGTTTTGGGCCGAAGACCTCAGCTATCGAGTGCGCTGGAAAAGACCTGGTTCGTTTCGATAAGCAGATCACAGAGATTGGTGCCGTGGATTTGGTGTTATCTTTATGCGTTGGGTTATTTTGGTGAATGAAAGTCCGAGGATATCAGAACAATCATAAAATGGGATATCAAAGCTGTTGACTGAAATCAATGTTTCTCAGACTGTATAATCAACTGGTGAGGTATCACCAACTGGCCGGTCGGGGATGACGTCACCGAGGCAATGTCCTCCACAATTAGCGACTCGATTAGCCAAGGCATACTGAGAAGAATCACCTAGTCAAAGAGATATGTTTCATGCAAAAGTTCCCATGTTAATTATCGGGTCGGCGCCAAAGCATGTAAGGTGTCGCTGTTCCGGTGGGGTATGCAATAGGCTATCAACAGATAGCCTACCCCGGAATACTGTATCCTTCACAGTGACGTAGGAAATCGCGTAGGCTACGCAGAATGAGCCGTGTGAGGCGATGTGACACAGCCGTGTGATACCTAGTATCCAACCTAACTCCTATATAAACCCCGAAAAATTCTGCGAGTCTTCATCATAACCAGCCAATTCCTCTTTCCGAACATTCCGTACAAAACGAAACACATTCCAATATGCAGGAACCAACCTACGACTCCAGGTAAGTACAGTATCAAACCATATTACCGGTTGGATGTTAATGAAACACACAGCCGTCCGATGCCGGCCATCGAGATTGTCTACTCGTACAAGCTGGTCGGGATCCCGAACAAGACTATCGTCAGCCTGCGCGTCGAGTTCCCACCCAACGGATCAACTCCCCCGCACCGTCATGGGGGCGCGAACGTTGGCGCCTATGTATTGAAAGGAACCCTTCTCAACAAAATGAATGACGATCCTATGAAAACCATCGAAGAGGGCGGCAGCTGGTTTGAAGCACCGGGCTGTCATCATCGCATCAGCGATAATGCTAGCAAGACAGAGCCGGCGACGCTCATTGCTACCATGATCACGGACACTGAAGCATTTGAGAGGGATGGAATGGCGGCGCTTATCCAAATTGACGAGGAGTACCGGAAATGACAATAGTCGCGGGTTGAAGCGATCAATAGCACACTCCGTGTCAAAGCATGAATAAAACCACATAATCAGCGATTCAAAATCTGTAGGGATCTTATTATTAAAGGGTAATCTCCGGTGGGATCTATTGTAACATAAATGAACTCGTTTCGGTTAGACCACGAGCATCCGCATCAAAAAAGGCACAAAAGTCAAAATTGGAGTCAGGTAACATGTCCAATGCCGGGAATTCAGAAGATGTTGGATCCGGAAGGGAGATGCCAACGGTACCCAAACTAGCCGGGGGATCCTTTGCGAGAGATAACAATTCTCGGGCGACAATTCCAATCTCACGGTAAGTCCGTTTGCCCAGAGTCCAGTGTTCACTTAGACGCTTCAAAGTGCCCATAGTCAAACGAATCTTTTCCCGGCCTTTGGCACGCTGGTCCCCTGAAAAGATAAACCTGCAAGCCGACAGATGTGCAATGGTCACGTTGGCAATCATGCAAATGATGAAGGGGGAATGGGTCTTCATATTAGTTGGCAGAGTCAATAGCTCATCAATGCTATTGATAGCCTTGGTGCATTTGACAGTATGTATGTCACGTTCCTTTGCGCTGTTGCATTTAAGTTGTTCTGACGGGGCCAATGGAGCACATCGCGACACTGATTCGATTGCGCTGTGAGTCAACGCTGACAGTGGGCGATGGATTTCAACGGTATATCTATACTTGGGTTAGATAAATGGAAAACAGCCAGGAAATTGCAGGTCTTACGTGTGCATAATGAAGAATGCTTTGAACATAACTTCATCAAATGATCCATCGGGACGGATTAATTGCCTCTTCTCCGGCGAAAGAAGAGAGCACCATGCTCGAACACTAGTATCAGAGCTCGCAGCCATCGTAGTGTATATTCGATCATCTGCCGTGTTGCCAGGAGACAAGGCCTGATCAATCCCGCGGGTCAAGCCAATAAGCTCCGCGTAGGAGGAAAAATTAGTTTCATCTTCGCCAAGGAACTCCCTATTGTCGTAATCTTCTAGGGATCGTGGTTGTGGGATGGCCTAATAAGAATGTCAGCTGGACACTTCCAAAGGCATAAAGCGATTGACATACCCCTCTGTCGTACTGTTCTTCTTCACAAGGAAGGTCGGTAGTGATTTCAATGCCACTTGTTCGGAACGGGTACGTATGGGTAGATCCTGCGGTCATTAGAAATGCAACTTGGGCAATAATCATGTTTAGGAGACATACCGGCGATGTGGGCGTCAGTGATATAGATCACCCACCAAGTGCGGCGCCAACTTTCCTCAAGTAAGGAATTGGCTTCCCCGTAGTTTTGGGCGAATTGCTTTTTGTTCATTCCAAGGGCTACCGCCATGCGAATTGCTTCGTCAAGGAGCCCAACACCACTTTCCGTTTCATTGCACCAGTAGACAGCGATAGAATAAAGCAGGAGAGCTTGAACATCAAATGGCGTAAGAGGCCGGGGTGATGACCGAATTTCGGCCACTGAGTCTTGAGCACGTTGGGCCCATGATTTTAATACTTCAGGTGGACAGGAAATATCGAAAATAGATCCAACATAACACATCACCTGAAGGAGAGGCTGAATTTTCGGTTCGTTGAGACGAGTTTTGAGAACCTGAAAAGGCAACGTGCAAGGGTGAGCTGCATGGAAGAACTCGTAATACAAACTCAGAAATGAAGATGCTGAGTTGGAAGATGAATCAATCTCCCCGTTAGTAGCAGCAGAAGAGGACGAAGAGATAGTGGAAGTTTGCAGTGACGAGTCAACCGAGTTCTCATAGACAGTTATGACAGGCGACGGCGCAGGGTTCCCCGGTTTTGGATTTCCACGTCGACGCGATGGAGGATAAACACATTGTAATGTATTTGTGGCGCAGCGTGAACAGACAGGCTTGCGGCCATCGCAGCGTTGGTGTTTGTAGCGACATTGTGCGCACGAAAGAGAGATCCTTGTTCCACTCTTGGCAGGTTTGTTCCTGCCTGGAGTATCCGACATAGCTTTTGAGGATATGAAGGAGAATGTGGTGGGAAAGGAAACAAGAGTCACATTCTGTGGGCGTCAATCTCAGATTAGTCATGCAGTACCGGGGCCGGGAGCTGTGGACCTCCAGGGGTGCAAGGGCCCGGGGTGTAGAGATCTAGGCATCAGGCATCGGGAATCTGGGCTTTGTGTGAAGAAAAGTTTTTAAAATATTTTAACCAGAACGAAAGTCACCTAATTACTCAATATTATTTTTTCCGCACTTGACTCGACGAGGTGTCCAAATGTGCTCAAAAGTGAAGAAGTTCCCTTTCAAGCGGAATGGGAAATTAGAGATTTTGAACCTCAGGCTCCGATGGATGTCTGAGATAGGTGTAGGGATCAGCAGATATGCGCAGGCGATGTCAGATTTAGCAGTTGACCATAATAGTGGACCAATATTTAAGTCATGATCGCCCAGTGGGGCATTAATCTGAGACATAAAGAATATAAACTTTGATTCCCAAGTTGATTGCTAAAATTTTGCTTCCAGTTCGTATCCAAGACAGAATAATGAGAAATGAAACAAGTGGTGTTTTTGATATCTCACTGCAAATCGTTTGATCCCGCCTTATACCCTCAACATGTAGGAAGAACAATTATGCTTTCACGGTCGGATGAATGTCTTCTGTTTCGCTCGTGAGAGCCACATCACTATTCCAGCCTTTGAATGCGCGAGTCCGTAACCTCAGCGAGAACATGCGATCGATCTCCATTGCCGTCCGACCTTTCATCTCTGGGATACCCAGCCACACTACAATGACTGCAACTGCGGCGAATCCTGCCATCACGAACCCTGTTTTCGCCTTCAGGTTTCCTTGGTCTGCGTTATAGATATACGGCAGGATGATAGCGAAGACTGCAGTTCCAAATCCGCTAGTGAACCACCCAATACCTTGGGTCTTGGCTCGGAGTTGCAGTGAAGATGCTTCGGCGGCAACCACATGAGACGCAGGCCATGACCCAAGACCAGAGACCATGGTAATAATCATCATGCTAATTGCCGTATACCTAGTACAAAGTTAGCGCATCATCCTTGGGATGTGATATAGTGCCTTACCAAATCGTCACGATTCCTGAGAAGATCCCTGCGATTCCTACCGCGAACCACATTACCGTAACAATATTCAAAGTGAGTAGAATAAGAAATCTTCTACCAAAGACATTCAGCGCCCATAGACTGACAACATTCGCAATCAGGCCCAGTCCGATACCCAAAATCAAGAAAATCAAGCTATTAGCTGAGCCCATGCCCACGATCTGCATAAAGTAGGAGGAATTTGCCAGCAGTTGCAGTCCGAACATCTGAGGTATAATGCTTGCAAAAGCGACAATCCAAGTTCGACGCATATTGACTCCTCTGAAACAATCGGCATATGTATGGGTTGCACTCTCCTCGTCCTCTGCTGCAATTGACGCCTGTAACTCGTCGATCACAGCTTGCGAGTTGATACGAGATGTATTAAGCTTTTTCTGTGCCTTGAGAGCGTCATTCGTTCGTCCCTTTCTCAACAGCCAGGTTGGACTCTCTGGTAAAAACGCCGCTAGAACAAACGGAATAGCCGAGAACGGCCATTGTGACGCAAAGCAAATCCGATAGGACTCTGCGCCTGTATGCTTAAGCGAAGTATAAACCACGATCGACCCAACTAGTTGTCCAAGAAGCGTGAAGATCGGATAAAATGCAATGATCGGACCTCGGAGAACAACAGGAAGTACCTCGGACATGTATGTCTGGGTAACACACAGAAGGATGCCAATGCAAATTCCCTGAAAGAGTTTACCCGCAAAGAATACTCCTCGACGAGTTTCCATGTCGTCTGGCAGATCGGAGATGTAGCATATCGCGACCGCAATGGTGGATAAGAAACTGCCTATAGCGAGCGTAATCCGACGTCCACTACGATCTTGATAGTGACCACCAAGGACGGAGCCGAACATTATGCCGATGCAACTGGAGACATTCCAAAGGGAAAGCCACATCGTGGGGATGATGTACTTTCCATGGTATTCCTGGCCAAAAACAAGTCTGTCGCGTGTCAGCAGGGACACATTGTATTATTTTGGGGGGGGGCTTATTCACTGAAATTGAGGCATCGCAGCCACCGTTGCCACGATGACTAGGTCATATCCGTAGAGAAGAATTGCCGAGCTTAGCGCGAGGCAATAGCCCACGATTTTGGGGAATTTCTTGAACGATTGCCAGAGTGGTATGTGGGACGTGCTTTTAGTTGTAGCAACGGCATCAACGCCATCCTCATTGTACTCTTTGGTGGATTGTGTCTCTGTGAGATTCATAATGTGTTTGGAGACTCCGTAGGCGCTTTGAGTGATTACAGGTGGGGACAACAGGGGGGAATTCTTTATCTTAAATTTGTAGATGAAGAACCCCTACAGAATGTTAGAACAAAGAGACCCGTATACTAACCTTAAAAAGGGGGGAATGGGAGAGCACTGAGCTATATTAAATTTAAAATTCATCCATAGCGCATGCAATAAAACCAACGGACCAACGTCGTCGAATCAAATATCTTGTTTTTGAGAATTTCTAAGCACCGACCGCAATGTGTCACAAATAACAAGGATACTTGGATAGTTTCTTGATCCTATTTAGGTATGAGGCGTTGCCCCCCGCACTGCCAAGTGATCGTCTCTGGAAGGAAGACCATCGCTTCGACATAACTGGGGTCATCCCTGGCTCTTCCCGCTATAGTGTGATCATGTGCCCCGTGTTCAGCGTATATACAGCCACAATATAGATATATTCATAAGAGGGGGGTTGGCGCTCGCCATTGCCTCGGCTTGTATTCGAGGCTGATACCGTTAAGAGAATATTGATGCTGCATCAGATGGGACTCAATCTTGATCAAGTAGTTTTTGTATAGGGAATGCGTTGGAATGCTTTCTTCGAGGACAATTCGATCCCATTTTCGATCTATATTGCGGAGTCCTGTTTCTTGGAGATCTTTGATAGAGTGCGCACTGGAGTTTCAGGGTCGAGACTGAACATAGTAGCTGAAGGGAAGTGTTGAGAAGAGGCCGAGACATGCATTATGCTTTATCTCGATGCGTCCAGTTCAAACAGTCCAGAAAAAATTAGGGCCTCTTGCCCCAGCCTGCCCTGGGTATGCAGGCCACCACGGAATACCAGAGTCAATCTCCGTTGACCGCTGTACTCCACAAGCCCCTATTTTACCTGTGTCTCGCATCCATGCTGTTAGTCTGAGACTGGTATATGGTATGGTCGGCTACATGTCGTGAAATAAGCAAAAGAATCCGGTGAATCAGACATTAGCAGAGAAGCTGGCAATCGATTATCTAGATGTATTCCTAGTTGTGAGCGAGCCCCTCTATTGTATGCAGCCTATTTGAAACGAAGTTTCCGAAATAACATTTGCTAGGATACAATATATGAATCACTTCTTTGGATCATCTAGTTTTTTTTTGTCTGACCTGTCACAGTTCCGAGTTCAATCGAGGCAGACCCCGATTGTGCGCCCTTCATTTTCTCCAAGTCCCGCAGGTGTTGTTTCAATGCAGCAATTTCGCGTTCCAGCTCAACTGACGAAGCGAGTCGATATTTGAGTTTAGAAATCGCTGCTGAAATCACAAGAAGTGCTAGGGAGGTAGGGTACGCCCACTGACCAACCTGGCTCGGACTCTCCCCTGGGGGTCCGTCATTGTAAATTTGGATCTCGATCCAAATGACGAATGCAATGATAGTGAAGGGACTGACTATCATGCTGAAGAGTATCCCAAAAAGAATTGCAGCGTCAAGAATCACATGGAGAACCGACTTGAGGAACTGACGGCTGAATATGTGTCGCATACGGCGCCAGAAACTGGTATTCTTGTTTGTCGGCCTTGGGTCTTCCTCGTCGTAATTCAGGTTTGTTGGTAGTTTCATGGCCCCATTGACCTCATCTTTGAAGCTTTTCCATATGGCCTTTCGTTCTTTCCAGATTACCATGATCTTCGCTGACGGGATGTGTGATCGATAAGGTAGGAATCGGTAAGTCAAGTGGAGGCAGTTTAGGATTAGACAGAGAATGATGAGACTGTATATATATCGATGCGAGTAAAGAACCTTTTGCCAGAAGCCATGGGAGGCAGTGACTTTGAAGTGCCCGTCTGCAGCGGCTGAATGCAATGATCCTGGTTGTCGTAGAATTTGTGTTGAATTAAAACAGGGATTGAAGCAGATATCTCCTATTTGATTCCATCGCGATATGTTCGAAAACGTATCCCACACACTGTCATTCCATGTGGATGTTCTCCATGAGGCTTGCCAGCCGTCATTTGATGTGTCGTCAAAAGGCGCGAGATCAGGAAAGCAAAACATGTACTGAGGTGATGTCTTGGGTATTCTCGCAGCATATACAAGGGCACATATAGAGCCAGCCAACATGAGGGCATGCCAGAGATAAAAGAGAAGGTTCCGTGCTCGATCGTGAGTTAGAATGCGGGACCAACATTGGAGTGGCAAAAAGACGAGATAACCAGTGACAACGATGGCAAGAACAGCATCCGAGTCAAGCTCGAGTGATGCGGGCGAGATCATAATATGGTCTGTCTCGGTGACTAAATAAGGGAACTCTTTTCGCAGGCTGGAGTTGGCGGATAGGTATGGAATAGCGACAGATCCAGGGTCTTGGGGCGTTTGGTGACTAGAAACCATGATGAAGGCGTGGATTGCGGCAGTTCCTGCGTATGTCGCGGCGGTTCCTAAAAACACATTCATGACCCATCCTGTCCATCGAGTGACACAGGTCGCCAGCATAAGCGCATAGAAAAGATATCGTGGACATGAGTTGTAGATTGTACTGATTGGATAGAAGCAGAGAGTTTCCTGGGCAATAAACAACGGGGAAACCGTGCTGTGATTCATTGGAGAAACGAAGGTGGAGAGGGTTGTGCAGAATTCATTTTCTGGTTTCCCGTGCTTTTTCCATTTCCCTGCAGGCAGCCTTTTTTCCTTATGCGAATCTTCTTAGTGTTGACATCATCTCTATTTAGGTACACTGTCCGATCCTCATTTAAGCATCTTATACCTGCTAATATACTGTATGAAAATAATAAATGGAAATAGGAAATAATTAAATACATTTGGCAATGTTACATAAGTCAACATATATTTCGTTGTAGAAAAAGCAATGGATTACAGTGAAAGTGCTGATTCTTTTACACGGAGTATAAATAGTTCTACTAGCTGGTCAATCTATGCCATGACATATAAGTGTCAGAGTAAAATAGTCATTCGATGTATTCTAAGATTATCACGCCCCTCCAATCACGTATATCTATTCAAATCAATTACCAGTGCCCAGCCCCATGTACTAGTGCTCAAATTAGAAATATAACTACGACCTATTCAATCACTCATTGCTTCCTGTCGTTGATCTCATCCACAATAAACATTACGAGTCTCGTAATGGGACCACCCCGACGCTTTGGTCCTTGGGCTCGTCTCTTTTCGCGCGTTTGTCCCATCAATTGGCCGCTCTCCAGCTCCACCGAGTTTTCATGTCCACTGGAGACACTGGGCTGCTGGGTATACTCTGCGGATGGTCGTACTTGAAGTGTAAGGCCGATACCCAAACATACAAGAACAACCACAATCTCTTCTAGGATAGACATCACAAGCTGAATTGTGATATTGCCTGATAGCATACTGAATTCGGCCTTCTGGCCAAACGCATAGATGAAAGAGTAGATTAATCGCACGAGGATCAAGGGTAGAGAGATTCCCACGGCTAGCAGCAGGCGATGTTCTCCGTCTTCGATACTGTGAGTTCGTGTCGAAACCAGGAGGAGGAGTCCACAGACACCGATCCAGGCAACAAGGTAGAAAATGAGTCCAACTTTCGTCTCTATGTTGATAAGGCCATGGGTAATATCGGAGTTCGCGGTTGCGCCGACGATGCTCAGAATCACCCCAACTAGCGCAAATATTCCAACAACCCGAAAGAACATCGGAGGGAAAGCGTTGGCAGTTTTTCGCATAATAGAATCATTCCTAATAAATTTCGTTAGCTGCAAATCATCAAGTCGATCACGAATAAAGGTGTTACTCACGCTCTTGATAAAAGTCCAATACAAGCCAATAGTAATGGCGACAGTCCGAGTGAAGTACAAACAGCCCAGGCAATGTATAGATCGACACTGGAAGGATAGTGAATCGTGGCCAAATAGCATGCTGAGCCAACAATGCGGGCAAGACAAAAGACGACGAAAAAGAACCAGCCCGAGCTCTTTTTGAACCCATGGTGGAATGCCATCCAGAGAGCAAGGAAGAGGGTTGGAGAGTAAACAATGACCTCCAGGATGGAGATCCCATGCCGATAGTCGATGGCCATAATCGCAAATGAGAATGAAGCGTACTGAAGTCAAGAAAGCAGAAAATAGACTGATGCTTGTATTACCCTCGACTCATGGGCACTTTGCTATTTAAGTGCTTCGATGCCCTTTCAGCTCGCGCTGCTTTCCTATTCAACTCCATAAGGCAGTGCAATAAAAATTTCGATGCTCAGGCTGGAAGTATAAGCGTTGTGGATACTCCACTTTAGTATCCACTTGAAGATATGATTAGCCAATAGCATCCGCCAAACCGCATACTGCATACTCGATTGGGCTTAGTGTATTGCGTTGCCGCCCAAACGGGTATGGAGCTCGGTCAGGCTAAGCCTCTCTGCACGCCACAAACCCATTGCTTGGTGAACAGTTTTGACAATCTGACTGTATCGCATCTCGTACGGCCGTAGAGATCTCACGAAAGGATCCAAGTTTGATGAGTCCGATCTTCTTCGCCCTCATAGGCGGACGTCGTCTTATCAGGCATTCTAGCGCTCCCACTTGTGACCACTCACGGTGGTCGCAGTCTCTTATTGGCGACATTTTGTCAGAGTCAGAAACTGTTTGGTGGCTCGAGGAATCAGGCCCCCATAGTCATAGCGCCTGCCTGTAGATCAGTTGCATCCTGTTGTTCTCTCCATCTCACGCACACACACTTCTATTTTTCTATGCTGCCCATCTCATTCCATGGGTATGTACACACACAGTTATACCTCCGTGGATATTCATCATTGTGAGCCAGCTCTATACGATGGTTCCAGGTCGCCCTAAGATTGAGAATAACATCAGAAAACATGGATTCTGACATGGGATATGTGTCCTACATTGTCAGTGTAATAGGGACGCTGCCGATTTGTGGCTGTTGAAAATGCTACGATACCACAGCTCACTACGCTCGACAGGCAAGAAGAAGTAGGAGGAGGAAGAATCCCGCGCGACACCTGCTCAGACCGCAAGCTTGTATATGGCGCCTGGAAGGTAAGGCATCAAGGGGACAAACAACTTCGTTTGCCCTTTTCCTATTAGACATTCCACATGAAGCCCCTCCCGGCGAAAGCCCTAAGCCAAGTGAATAGAATATCGCCATCAACAAATTGTGAGTTGCCAAATATTTAGCTCATCAAATTGGTTTGTTTTAAGTTCACTCATCTGCAAGATGGAAAAGACGTGGACACCGGGGAACACAGGCCACTTCATGAAAAATCCAGCGGCTCTGCAGGATATGCCCTAGGTTTTATATTCTACACGCCCTAGCTTTGCCGCAAATTTAGTATATATTATTACCAGGGCGACATGTGCAAAGTGGGCCCCAGGATCAGCCAGAATCCCTGGCTCGACGATATATATCCGCCTTGCATAAACTTGAACTTAATTGCAAAGACCGAGGTCAATATAGGGTTCGAACATTGTTTAGCGCAATTTGCATAATTCTCTTCGCCAAACTGGCAAGCCGTATGTTGGGCACCGGGGTTGTTTCCCGTGAAGGATTTCCCCGCTTCCTGGCGAAACGGTAGAACGACCGTTGATCGACATCCTAGAATGATCAAGATCACCACTTTCTTGGCCTTTTTTGGGTTCATTGCCGGAATCCATCGTATTTCTACAGTTTGTCGTATTCGCGTCGTATAAATATTCCGAGGCCGCTTTCTGTGTAGATCACCACGCATAGATACAAAGATATATAAACACATACATATGCACTTGATTTTTTAGTTCACGTAGTTCCTTATTGTCAGAGCCATCGACTCAATTGCCCATCGTCTTTACAGTGTTGTGACGATCTAGCATACCGATTATGCTATCGCTCGCCTTGGCCCTAGTTGGCATTTTGGGACCTGTTGGTTGTTTGGCAGCTGATCCCGGTCCAGCAGCTTGTTCCAATATAACATCACAACTGGGATCTTCCAAAGTCATTACCAGCAATCTCAATTTAAAGTATATCACTAGCACTGAGTACTGGAGTACGCCCCAGAATGCCTTCAAACCATCCTGTGTCGTATATCCTTCGTCCTCAGAAGATGTCTCTGTGACTCTTCAGGCCATCCGAGCAGCCGGGAGCCGGTTTGCAGTCAGAGGGGGAGGACATAATCCTAACAAGTTCTTTTCGTCAACCGACAAAGGCGTCCTCATTAACTTGAGCAGCCTCTCGGAAAAGTCGTATGATCCAGACACTACGCTGGCAACATACGGACCAGGTGGTGTGTTTGGCGACATATACGACTACTTCGCGGACTATAACCGCACAGTGGTTGGAGCCCGGCTCTCCGGTGTGGGAACCGGTCTTGCTCTCGGTGGTGGCATGAGCTATCTCTCTCCCCAATATGGCATGGCCTGTGATTCATTCCGGGAGCTGGAAATTGTTCTTCCTGATGGTCAGATCGTGATAGCGTCCAACACATCTAACCCCGACCTGTTCTTTGCGTCGCGCGGCGGCGGAGGCAATGCCTATGGTGTTGTAACGAAGTATACGGTCCAGAGTCGCCCTATTGGTCAATTCTTCGCGGGCAATATTATTTACGCCTTTCCCCAGAAGGATACCGTCGTTGAAGCAATTGGCAATTTCATCCGATACAACACCGACCCAAAAGCCAGCATTATCGGCACTTACGAGAAGCTGCCCACCCCTGATATGAATCTGAACCTGGACGAGGTCATTATCATGTTTCTAGTCTATGATGGCCCTGACGCAGGTGATGCGTTCGCGAACTTCACGAGCATTCCACATCTCCTCGATACTACTGGCCTCAAGTCCTACCCCGATGTAGCTGACATGCCACTTCCAATCGCCAGCGAGATTTCACGCGGGAACAATATTTTCCGTGTTGGAGTCCACCGTGCCGATAATGATGAGTGTAAGAATGCTCTGGATGTGTGGCGCAACTGGGGCGAGTCGAACAAAGGCAAATACCTGCTCCTTTCGCTCGATTTCCAGCCTGTCCCAAAAAGCTTGACAGATGCCAGCAAAGCGCAGGGTGGAAATGCAATGGATATGCCCGACGGTCCATGGTTCTGGTTGAATTATTTGATTACAACGCTGCCGGGAATGAGCCAGCCTGACTATGATGCCATACAGTCTAGCTTCCGTGATATGGTTGCGTCGACAACCAATGCTAAAGGTCTTCCGTTGTTCATCAATGATGCAAATCATGATCAAAATCCTCTGTCGACCTTCTCTACATATGGGAAATTGCAAGAGATAAAAAAGAAGTATGATCCAGATAACTTCTTCGCTGACAAGACGGGCGGTTGGTCATTTGACTAGAGGTAGTTGGCTCAGCAACCTTCCAATTGCTGGTCATTTTTGCTGGTGCTCTATGGGTATACTATTTTGAATTTGAAAATACTTGTACATAGCCACCGTATTGTAGTAAGAGGATAATGCTCAATATGTATCATTTTGTTATCATTTTACTGGCCAAATTCAATGTGGAAACCGGTCTCGTGATCTCAACACCACCATGGTCTCATTCCCTCACCTCCGCGGAAATCAGCAGAAAGTATGGACGATGTCTCTCGGCTCCCCATTCTGGCTGGCCTGCGACAGCCTCCTTTGAAGGACACCAATCTTTCAATCCGGTCAACACAAATCCGTTCTCAAGCAAGGCTGTGACATAGGTCTCAACAGTGCGATGATATTTTCTCACTCCCTCTGCTCCCAGCCAACTACTCAAACGTAGGCCCTCGCTGCTATAAGAGTTCAATGGCCACACTATCCGGTCTTCACCTCCTTCCTGTATTACTTTGAATCCCGGCCCTGGATTGACGAGGGCGGTTCCAATGGGGTGTTCAACAGAGAAGATCAACCTCCCCCTTGGCTCATGACCATTGCCCTTTTTCAAGCAGCTATGGATTTCACGGAAAAGTCGTACGATATCCTCAATGTAGTGAAAGGCTAGGGAACTATAAACCAGATCATACAACCCATGTTCAGGCTGGCAAGTCAAGCTTATAGTCTCGAGATCCTGAATTCCGAAGGTGACTTCTGTAGCAGGGGCTGTTGCCACCGCCCCATTGCTTATTTGATGATTGATCTCAGCCTCAAACTCTTTTGCTCGGTTGATCATGTTTTCGGAAATATCGATTCCTTTGACGTAACCAGCGCCTTTCTCACGGGCCCAGCGGACGAACCATCCGTAACCACACCCCAAGTCAAGAATGTGAGATTCTTTCAAAGGGTTTTCTGATGGCCCTGTAGCAGAGGACTTCGGGTTGATGATCATCTCCTCCAGGACAGGCCATTCTGGTGCCGCCGGCAGACCGTGTTGAGATCGAGGGAGGTTTCCGTACGCCACGAAGAATTCTGGGTTGTCGTAAATATTTTGGGATTTGACAGGCATGGTTGCAAGGTTACAATCAGTACACTGACGATGGGTACTAGGTATCACTTCGTGATCCGATTGCGGAAGATGAGTGAAAGAGACAAAATGTGACAAAAAGAGCAACTCTTAAATGAACTAGAACGTATTCTCCAGGTCAGTCCGGTGGTGTCATAAAGACTTATATTTACGAAGACTACAAATGTACGGAGCTGGCGGGGCTACCCGCTCTGTATATTTCTCTATCCGGTCCCCGCTCTATTTTTGGTGCATATAAAACATTGAAGTAAGCAAATTATGTGTCTAGCTCGTCTAATCTTTCTTGCCTCTGCCGATATACTCTTTGGAAGACTTCCAGATACCCCTCGCACCGATTGAAATATCCTGCCGTCCGTCATAAAGTGGGAAAATCACAACTGCCCCAAAGGCAGCGAACTGCCAGATGATGGCGACAACTACCCATCCCGCGAAGAATGATTTCGTGAAGATATAGTCACGGTACAGTGGAAGAGGCCAAGCAACAAACGTGATCAGCACGATAGCTCCGAACATGTACCAAGCAATCTTGAGCCATCTGTACAACTCTTTCAACGTTGCGTCGTCGAATGGGTGCTGAATGTCATCGAGACTGATTTCCATGGAAGATGGCGACGAAGCTTTCTTCGTAGAATTCTTTTCACTGATTCCAATCTGCTCTGGGTCGTTGTTGATGCTTTCTGGTTGACTATTGGCAACCGGTTTGACAGATCCAGCGGCATGCTTGGAATCACTTGAATGGTCTTCCTCACTGCTCTCGTTCAATGTACTTGTGTCCGAGGGCGACTGTATTTCTGCTTGATCTGCAAGCTCAATCCGGAGGAACACCCTCCAGTCGAACTTGTAAGGGTTGTAGAATGACAGGACAACCGAATAGAGAGCTGGCGTAAAGAAAGAAGTGATCGCTGCATATAGCGCCGGATAGGGATTTGTAGTTGTCGTGATGCTAATAGTGCCATACATATATTTGGTTGTTGCCAACCAGACAGTGAGACCCGAAAAGAAGCCAAGCACGGGAGAGATAATTGCAGCTATCCGGGTCTGCCTAGACCAGAACAAAGTGAGAATCATAGGGATGATTCCTGGACATGAGATGATGGGTCTCAGGTATCCGATCCATGTCATATTTGCTCCTCCATAGTTGAGAGCGATGGAAATTCCGGTGATAAAGACACCGTGGATAACTACAGTCAAGTGGCTCACTCCCACGATTTGCTTGTCGGTAGCTTTTGGGTTGAGGTATGTCTTATAGATATCATAAGACAAGATGCTACTGACGGCAATCATTGATGAGGAAACGGTACTCGTCAAAGCCATGAACAAAAGGAAGAAGAATCCAATGATTCCCTTGTCTCCGATGAGTGCTTTGATGGTGTATGGCATCACCATACCCGAGCTGACTTCAGTGGCAGTAAGCAGACCAGGGTAGGTCGGAAAGATTGGGGTATCGTGAATTGCCCTCGTTGCCAAACCAATGACTGTGCCTAGACCCCAGGGGATACCGAAAACTGCCAATGCAGCAATATTGTATCCTGGCACTGTCGCCTTGACCTCTGTAGCGAAGGACTTTTGCCAAAATGCAGTGTCCTATCAATGAAATATTAGCTTTGTAAAAACTTCAAGTTTTGCGGCTCTCAATGGTCTTTCTAGGGACGTTTCAAAGATCGGTTTGTGGAATTGACTTACCATGACGACGAGTGCCAGGTTTCCAAACTTGAGAATCAACCCCCAAATAATAGCATCCTTGGACTTAAATGTAAGAAGCGAGCCTTCATAGTTGCCAGGGATGTAATTATCACCAGCTGTTGCAATTACTTTATCATACAAACCACCCAGTCCACCGACCGCCGAGTTTGTCAAAACAGCGATCGTGAAATAGATGATGAGAATGAGAGCAATAGCCGTGTGCAAAAAGTCCGTCAGGAATGTGGCCTTCAGGCCACCCACAGCTGTATAGAGGACAACTATAAAGAGGTTAACTTCTGTTTCCCGACTCATTTTTATAAGAGAAATAGAACAAACCTCCGAGGGGAACGAGAATAGTTGCTGCTACATAGTGCATGCCCGAAACACCATGAATGAGTTGGGAGCCCGTCATAATCATCGAGGCGCAGCCGAAAACGTTGTTGACGAGGTTAAGCACGATAAACACGAGATGTCCGATCTTGCCATAGCGCATCCGAACAACTTCCAGCGACGTATGAGCATAAGGGACTCGAATCTTGGCCATAACGCCAAGTGCTGCCATCAGTGCAATTTGGAAGCATAGACCAGATCCCCACCACTATGATCCGTCAGTCGTGCAACGTCATTCGAGGGCGTAAGGGAACATACCAGAGGCACTGCAAGGCCGTACCTATATGTCATCGCCGCACACAATACTGTCTCGTTGATCCACATCCAGGAGCTGAAGACTGCTGATGCACACAATCCTCTTCCCACGGAGCGATTGGCGACCATGAACATTTCGGACTTTCCAGAATCTTCAGCAAGATACGCTTTCTGTACCTTGACGGCAATCAAAATCACTCCACAGAACACAACGCTGAGACCAATGAGAAGGCCATAGGCCGCCCCTTTGGGGATCAAAGCTAACTTGGACGGATCTATCGTGTTAGACATGTCTGGGCAAAGTAAAGCCAAGTTCAAAGGCGCAGGGCCGAGAAATATTTATTCTCTGCAGGGTCCATCATATCTTCAATGCCAAGCCTTGTCTCTGTAGATCTGCAGCCAATTGACGTTCTCTAAAGGATTGCGTAACAATCAGAGTTGCCATGTGGGCGATATATCTCACGTCGTCCATGTCCGCAATTGCGTTATACGGAATTAGTGAGAGAGACGCGGCTAAACAGTCTAGGCATATGGCCATTGGAAGATCGAAACAACGCTAATAAGGTCAACATGTAGTAGTTGTGGAATATCTGTGATTGTGATGGGGATTGCGTGCCTTAACACCCAGATTGCGATAAAACGACTTGGAATCGCGAACGACAGGGGTCACTGCGTACCCCACACAGGAGTCTAATGTGTCGGCCGATATAGGATTCAAAATAATCATAGCAAATGTCGAATCTCAATTACCAATGGGGGATAAACCTCCAATGATTCTGCGATGGTGACAGCTCTTGGCGCATACTTCTCCGCTATGTATACAAAGCGACTCCCATTGCTCAAGACTCAGTGTTAGCCCTCAGTGCCTTTTTAAATTTACTACATATTGAGAGAATTCCAGTTCAAAATGGGTGAAGTTATACCATCCGGCAAAAAGCAGATCATCCTCAATGCTTTCGTCATGAATACCCCGGGCCATTTGGCACCCGGGCTATGGAAGCATCCTAGAAACAAGACCGATCAGTACAAAACACTCTCATTCTGGACCGATCTAGCTCAGTTGCTTGACAAAGCCGGTTTCCATGCGATGTTCCTTGCGGACACCCTAGGGGCATACGACGTGTACAAGGGCCCTAGTAATGTTGTTCCCGCGTTGGCATCAGGCGCGCAATTTCCGGTCAACGACCCATTGTACCTTGTTCCTGCCATGTCTGCCGTCACAAAGAATCTCATTTTTGGAGTGACCGCCAGCGTGACATACGAGAAACCGTACGCGCTCGCACGCCGACTCTCTACCGTGGATCACCTCAGCCAGGGCCGCCTGGCATGGAATATTGTCACCTCGTATCTGGACAGCGCAGCCCGAAACCACGGGCTGAACGAGCAAATTCCTCACGATGAGCGATACGCAATAGCAGATGAATATCTCGAGGTGCTCTACAAGCTCTGGGAAGGAAGTTTCCGAGACGACGCCGTGCTCGCCGACCGACAGCTAGGAACATACATTGCTAGCGATGGTGTGCGAGAGATAAACCACAAAGGGAAATACTTTGATGTCCCTGGGCCTCATTTCTGCGAGCCATCGCCACAGCGTACGCCATTCCTGTTCCAAGCTGGCGTGTCCGAGGCCGGTGGTCAATTCGGTGGAAAGCACGGGGAGGCAATCTTCATCGGTGGTCAGACACCCGAGGGTACTCGCTTGACGGTGGATAATATACGGAATATTGCCAAACAGCACGGCCGTGATCCCAATCATATCAAAGTCATCGTGGGTATCAACGTGATTGTCGCAGCGACAGATGAAGAAGCAAAGGCAAAGCGGGAGGATTATCTCCAATATGCCGATGACGAAGGTGCATTAGCTTTGTTTGGTGGATGGACTGGAATTGACCTGTCGAGTCATGCTGATGATGAGGATTTCCGGTTCAGCGACTCTCCGCGGGTCCAGTCCATTGTTCGGAGATGGTCTGCTACGGTGCCAGGCACGGATAGCTTGCCATGGACCAAACGGAGGATTGTGGAGTACATCAGTGTGGGGGGACTGCAGGCCAAGGTTGTTGGCAGTCCCACGACAGTTGCAGATGGGTTGGAAAGATGGGTGGAGATATCCGACGTGGATGGTTTCAATCTTGCCCATATTGTGAATCCCGGAACTTTCGAAGATATCGTTGAGTTCTTATTGCCTGAACTGCGACGGAGGGGGTGTTCAGAGAGGATGTTGAGAAAGAAGGTGCTACAGCTCGCGAAGTGTTCATTGGATCGCAGCGTTTGCCAGAAGATCATCCTGGAAGCAAGTACAAGTGGCGGGCAGGGGAAACCATTCCTCGGTATCAGGAGAACTAAAGCCATTCTTGTTTCGTCTACATGCATATACAAGGTATCTGGTTGATACATGTAAAGCCGGAGATAAGCTCAATTAATAATTACGTCCGGGAGTCCGGGACCCTGCAGATGAACTTCCCAAAGGAGGACTTGGGACATTACAAATCAATCCAATATATACCTCGGAATATCGATCTGGGCTGCTTGGATTTCAATATCAAGTACCAATTTCAAAATGAAAGAAGCCATTATCGACACGACCGTTTCGGTCATCATCCGCGATGTTGACAGCCCCACCCCCAAAGCCGGCCAGGTCCTCATTCGGGTAGTGGTGTCAGGTACCAACCCGAAGGACTGGAAACGCCCCAAATGGCGACCAGACAATGTCATGAACCAGGGAGACGATGTCGCAGGGTATGTGGAGGCAGTAGGAGAGGGAGTCCGGAACTTCCGCGAAGGAGACAAAGTGGCCGCGCTGCACGAGCTAGGCAGCCCGCATGGAAGTTATGCTGAATACGCTATTGCATGGGAATACACAACATTCCATCTCACCGAGAAGACCAGCTTTGAAGGTAAGTCCCCCATGTTTTAATTACCACGGGAATGAAACTTAACATATTGACCAGAGGCTGCTACTATCCCCCTCGCTGCGATGACTGCTGCATTGGGTCTACATCAACAGCTGAAGCTGCCTCTGCCCTGGGGCCCCGCCGATAAACCCACTCCGCTGGTTGTGTACGGCGGTGCCACAGCGGTTGGCGCATTCGCGATCAAGTTCGCTCAACTATCAAACATACACCCCATCATCGCTGTTGCAGGCAAAGGCGCTCCCTTCGTCGAGACGTTGATCAGCAGAGAAAAAGGAGATACGATCATTGACTATCGCGAAGGCTTTGACGCCATCCACTCGGGGATCAGGGCTGCTGGCAAGGGTATACCCATTCATCATGCCTACGATGCCGTGTCCGAGAAGGGAAGCTATGAGAATATCGGTGCTGCTCTCGATAAACCTGGGAAGATCGCTGTCGTCTTACCTACGGAAGTCGATAAGGTGCAGGAGCAAATTAGCATCCATCGGACTATGGTTGCGTCTGTTCATATGCCCTCTGCTGAGGGCCAGGCTCTTGGTGATAAGGAGTTTGGGGCTGCTCTTTTCCAATTCATTGGTCGAGGTCTGGCACAAGGTTGGTTCTCGGGCCACCCATATGAAGTGAGAAAAGGTGGACTGGGAGGTCTCGAGGGCGCATTGAAAGATCTGGAGGCTGGCAAGGCATCTGCGGTGAAATATGTGATTAAGATTGCCGAGACTGAGGGAGTTGAACAGTTAGGTATATAACCCGAGAAAACGATCTCGGGTTACTCTACAAATGCAATGTTACAAGATGTATGCCAAGCCAGATCGGGATGTATAGATCGTATAGATCGGGATCGAAATGACATCACCATCAATTCTCCAAGTCGCGTGCCCCGTGAACATACTGTCTCAATTACAATCACCAATGTTAAACACCTTGGGGTCTCATTCCACCATGGCAAAACGCACACTTGACTCATTCTTCAAACCATCAACCACACCCCCAAAACGTCCCAAAACCGAACCTACCGAGTCCACCACCTCAACCCCAGAGACAAGCAATATCCCAATTGAAGACACCAAACCCCCAAGCCAACACCCAAGCTATCCAATCCCAATCACTCAACTCCCCTCCCACATCGAAGTCGGCCTAGAACACGCAACACCAGCAGCCTCACCCCTCGAAATAAACAACCAACCCCACCTCGACCTCCTTTACTTCCAACCGTACATCCCCCGCCCAACAGCAAACGAGCTATTCAAATTCCTCCGTCGCGAACTCCCCTTCTACCGCGTCCAATACACAGCCCGACGCGGCGACATCGAAACGCAAATCAACACACCAAGATGGACAACTGTCTTCGGAGTTGATGAAACATCGACATTCATCCAACAAGACAACGACCTGGTACTCCTAGAAACAAAGACCAAAACACCAACCCCGAAAACCAAATACCAGTGCACGCCGCGTCCAATACCAGCATGTCTCGATCTCCTACGGAAACAAGTCGAAGCAGCGAATGCAACCGCATCAGGTCCTAAAAACCCCAGCTACAATTTCTGCCTGGTAAATTACTACGCCAGCGGCGAGGACAGCATCGCCTTCCACTCAGATGACGAGCGTTTTCTCGGTCCCGAACCGAACATCGCCTCGCTATCTCTAGGCGGCGAGCGGGATTTCCTAATGAAGCATAAACCCTTTTCCGGAGGGAATGTGAACCAGACGACGGGTGGATGCGTTCCTGGTGCACATGCAATGTCCGGTCCGGGTGGTACCGGTGTGACGCGGAGTCGTACAGCAGGTGGAACATTGAATACCGTATCTCCTGGATCCAGGCCTGGTACGGTCCCACGGCAGATTAAGATGAGTCTTGGGTCCGGCGATATGGTTGTTATGCGTGGTGCGACGCAGTCGAATTGGTTGCATAGTATTCCTAAGCGGAAAGGGAAGGGGGAGATGACGAGGGGACGGATCAATATTACCTTTCGACGGGCTGTTGTTCCTGGTGGGACGAATAATTATTATCATTATAATGTTGGTAGTGGGGGGATGTATCGGTGGGATGAGGTAGCCAGGGAGATGGTTCTGCGGGATGGGAAGGGGGAGAGAGCTACGGGGTAGCTACATATGTACCCTGTTCACGGGTGTATGATTGAACAGGAATAAGATTCGAATCAAATAAACTATACATGGGTGCCGTAGCACGAAAGGAATGTCTCATGCTCCTGAGTTGGACGTGCAACTCGAGGCGAGACAGATGATATCACTGTGATAGCTTGGCACATTTGAGTCTTTGTACATTTGCTTCCGATTGAAAAAGAAAAAAAATTGACATCGAAGCAGGTCATCATGTGGCATTGGCACTGTGTCTTCCCAGTAGCCATGGTATTCCCCCCCCGGGGGAGTTCCGGCAAGTGCCGGGTAATAAAGAAACGTATTCCTGAGATACAAGAGCTACCGGCCCTTGTAGGCATAAGAGGAATGACTTGAAATGATCAGTAGGTGAAAATGACTTCTTCGCCGTAGACGTCTCCATAGCATTGGAACAAATCAGGGCAGCTGCAAGCAAACGTGTTAGCGGAGAAAAGATACAATTGCAGGACAACTTACAAGACGGGCTCCTTGCCGAAGATGATATGCCATGAGTACTCCATAATGTTTGCGGTAGCCTCGTCCGACAGGTCGTTGTTCATCACCCAGTCGTACATGCGCTGGTAATCGCTATGGGGGCGCTGGAGAATCTGGTCTCGGGAAACGGCAAACTGGGAGCAACACGGGGCGGCGATTTCGCGGGGAACGGGCGTATTGGGGAATAGTTCTTTCCATGCAGCCGCGTAATGTGCCTCGCCTGGGCTTTCGAGATTGGCGGGTTGGCGGAATGGTTGGATGGCGGAGGGGCATCCTGGGCTCAATTGGCAACGCAAGTTGACAAAGCCTGACTGTTGCACGAACTCTCTCTGTAACGCGCGCACCGAGTCCACATTGCTGTAATCCATGGTGTCGATGTGCCAGCCGGCGATTATGCCGTCGCGGTGACTGTGGAGGAAGACCACCACCTCCGGAAGGTCATCGTAGTGGTCGATCAGGTATTGGAGGTAGGGGAGAGCCTCGCGACCCTTGTTCTTCGGGGTGTGCGTGGGGACATTGACATCGTCGACGGTGTAAATAACGCTGCGCCATCTAGAGAGAGATTCAATTAGCGCTGTCTTCTTCTAAGAACACGATTGAGTCACACTCACTCTGCTAGCTCTGCCGCAACCCAGGCGGTATCTTCCTCCTTGCGCTTGCCCATCACAATGGCACCCTGGTTAGGGACCGTGATATCGGTGGTCTGGTAAAGCAGAGCGGGTTTATTGTCCGATGCAATTCGCCATTTCCGTTGAGATCCATCTTGTTTCGGCTTTGGTCTAAAGGATGTGCGGAAGGAGCCTGTATCGAAATGCCATATATCCTGGATTGATTCACCCTTGGTCTTAATACTGCGAGTGACCAGGACGAGAGTCAGGATGATGAGTGCCGCAGCAGCACCGACACGGAGTGACAATCTCATCGCATAACGCGATTCTCGGGATTGAGGGAAAAGAGTATTGGGGGGGGGGGGGGGGGGTGGAAGAAGAAGTGTCCTCAGGACACGCAATCTTAAGAAAATAATAAGCAGCACCCCATGTGGAGGCGGGATCAAACTCACTCGCGACTCTTAACGCGAGATGACGAAAGTGGTCAAGGGGTGACTTCGAGAAGGAATGGAAAGAGGAGGCCTGAAAGAGAGGGCCTACGAGGTCCTTTTGGTGAAATTAAGAAGAAAAAAAAGGACAAATCGGAGTCGGCGCTTTCCTCATTTGGGAGAGTGGACATTTCCTATTCTGTTTCTGATCCATTTTCGGTCCTTTCGAGACTTTGGGAAGGAGCATATGGGTGATTTAGGACAATTTGATTGGTCAAACTTAAAGTTCTCGGCCTATCGGCCAATCTGCGCTTTATTTTATTTTTTTATTTTATTTCACTTCAGGGGTACAGCCTAGGCATACATAATAGCTCGAGTACTCCAGAGTTGATTTTATTCTACTCCGTACTCCATACTCCATACTTAGATCCTTATATCTGATCCACCGGGAACATTCCTGAAACAATTTATCTATTGGACCCTATACATGATACACATCCCATGCAAGGAGATATCTGTCAATCAATTTTTCAATCCTATATCCAAAAAGAGAAAACCAAAACGGGTATGACCAACGCCAAAGTTCCAAAACCTACATATGCACCTATACGTACCGGATATTCCCTGGCGGGTGGGGCTTTCCTATTTGAGCTGCCGCCGCTTTTATGAGGGTGCTCAGGCTCAGGCTCACTGAGTAGATGTCAGCACGGGCTCAGATCAGTGATCATGCTCAGATCAGTCACGTGCAGGATGACTGATGCTCAGTGAGTGCTCAGTGAGTGCTCATTAGATGCTCTCTAATTACTCAGTGATGCTTAGTGTCCAATCAGTGAGCAACACTAATGCACTCAGCCCACCTCGGACTATACCCAGAAGGGATTAGCCCCCACAGGGTCGTTTATACTGTGATAGTTAGTTCGTTGATAGCATTGCTACTGCCCTTATTTTCCGGCGCACTACACCTCATCAAGAAAACACAATATAACGAAGGGGTGTAGGAAAGAGCGGAGAACTCTATCCGTTTCATGATGTCTTTTCTTGGTATAATAGTATATTATAGTAGAGTATAATGGTGTGAAGGATATCATATATAAATTACTGGTAACTATTACTATATCTAAGGATATACTAGTTAACTAATAGTGGTAAACTATATTATGACTCACTTCTAAATCGCCATAAATCGTGAGATAATATGATATCTGTTATGGGGCCGTCGTACTTCGTACGAAGCCCTATGGAAGATGCTTGCTTATGCTGCGCGGAATCTGCCAAACGTTACCGCCTTCGACGGAATATGTACACATTTGTTAGCTCAGGAGAACTCCTCTCCTCAACGAAACCTTCTTGTTCTTAAAACCCGTCTAAGTTGCACAACTAGGCTAGTTCCGCAACAATATCTTATATTATCCTATATTTGCCTCCTAGACTGTCTATAAAAGGGGTGACAGTCTACTCTCTAATATATATTGTACATACTTCTTAATATATTCTCATCCATATACATATATCTTTATCTCCTATTTAGGATAAGTATAACCTTCAATACTATATCTTATATAATCATATTATATAAGATATTACTTCCTCTATAAAATATTATAACCTACTATTAGGCTATAATATTCTATCTGCTAAATTACTTACACTTAAACTATTCTATAAGTTTATAAGTCTTATTTCTAGGACTAAAGACTTAAGTATCTACCTTATCTTTAGTATATATAACCGCCTTTTTAACTATCTTAAGAAAGCGATCGCTATACTTAGATAGAAGAAGGTTCTATAGAAATAGCTTATATAATCTACTCTTAAAGCTACGTTAGAAAAGCCTTTAAAATACTATAAGGATATAGATAGTATCGATAGGTATCTTTATACTATTAGTATAATTTTATCTCTATCCTAAAAGCTTTAATTCTTCTTATTAAAGGAATAGGAATTAGATAATCCTAGCGAAGCTAGCTAGAAAGATATTTACCGAGGTAGTCTTAAGACTTAGATTAAGCGCTATAAGGAGCGGCTTAATATTAGGGATAGTTAGTTATCGCTAAGTGGTCTATTATCTAGGGTTAGAATATCTAAGCTTAAATCTATATTAGAGTTAAATAACTCCTAGTAGTCTATCGCTCTATGTTATGGGGCCGTCGTACTTCGTACGAAGCCCTATGGAAGATGCTTGCTTATGCTGCGCGGAATCTGCCAAACGTTACCGCCTTCGACGGAATATGTACACATTTGTTAGCTCAGGAGAACTCCTCTCCTCAACGAAACCTTCTTGTTCTTAAAACCCGTCTAAGTTGCACAACTAGGCTAGTTCCGTAACATTAGGTTTCGTTCGTCACCTTTATCGACGCTTAGTAAGGAGTTCCTACTAGTACAGAGTGAGAGACAAGATGTCTTACCAACCACGACGACATAATACCTTTGATCACGACAACCTACCAGACGCACTACCGGCACAACAAGCGATGGGAGAGATCTTCCCCCCACCACGAGAGAACGATAGGATAGAAAGGGGGCCGACCCGGCCAACTTACCCCGATGTACGAACCTACAATGGACAGGACCCTAAGGAGTACGCAGCCTTTCGTACGAACTTGAAAATCAAGTTCTTGATGGATGCCCACTACTTTCACTCCGAGGAAATGAAGACCTACTACGCGTTTAGTAGGCTAGAAGGCATTGCGAGCCAGCAAGCCCACGCATGGATCGTAGCAATGGAGAATGAGAAGAAACCCCTCCTTCTCAATGAATTTTACCAAGCCATGGATCTCTACTTTGAAGACCCAGACAAGGAACAACGTGCCCTCGTACGAGTAAATTCGATGAAGCAGGGTAGGAGGAGTCTCCACGACTTCCTATCTGAGTTCGACCAGACACTAGTTACCGCGGGTGGATTACACTGGTCCGATGCCCAGAAGATGGCCCTTCTCCGGACCGCAATCAACGTCGATCTACTCCAGAGTACCGTCGGAGCTGAATTCGCTTCGTACGATGACTACCGGAACCGCCTTCTTCGGATCGACCACGACCTTCGGCAGATTGAAACGCTCCAGAAGAAGAAGTTAAGACCCTTCTTCCGTGGCAATCTCAGCAACACCCAAGACGACGCCGGCAGGATGGACTGGGAACCTACTCAAGCAACTAGGATCGCCGCCCTAGAAGCCGAGATCGCGGCCCTAAAGACAAACCAAAGGAGCAGTCCTTCTCGTACGAACGAACGGGCAAAATGGGTCTCCCGGGAAGAGATTGACCAACGCCGAATGAAGGGGGAATGCCTACGCTGCGGACAGAGAGGGCACCTGATTGCGGGCTGTAGACTACGGCCTGCCACCCGACCTCTAGAGGTGAACGCTGTCGATGCAGATGGAGACAACGACTCGGGAAAAGAATAACCTTCGTACGAAATCGTGTACGGAGGTCGCTAGATACTTCAAAATTGAAACATTCTGTTTGGGAAGAATTTGAAGCCACGCGTATGAACTCCCCACCGTTTGTCATTGCCGCGACCCTAGACCGACAAGCTATGGCCCGTACCTTAGTCGATAGCGGATGCCTATCGTACGGAGCTATCAGTGAAGCCTTTGCGAAAGAAAGGAACTTAGAGACTTTCGAGATCCTACCACGAACATTAAGAGGAATAGGAGGAAAGGGGACGATTTCACAAATCGTACGAACCTCCCTCTCAATTGACCACCACTTTGAGAAAGAGACCTACTTCTATATGATCCCTGATTCCATCGGATACGACCTGATTCTTGGCCTACCCTGGCTGAGACAACAGAACGCTTGCTTCGAACCTTTAAGGAACCGGTTATATCTTCGATCATCGAAAACCCGCCTCTATGGGATCGGCAAAACTCCTCTCCCCGATACTACAGAGATCTCGGCACTCTCAATGCATAGAGAGATTCAGTCAGCAATAAAAGACCATAATTCGTACGATTCCCAAATCTTTGCTGTCTCTATGGCCGATATCGAGAAAGCATTGAAAACCAAGAAACCAAAGGACCTAAAGGTGGAACTCCCCACTGAGTACCACGAATTCCTCCCTTTATTTGACCCCGACGAAGCGACTAAACTCCCACCACACCGCGGGGAAGGAATCGACCATAAAATCGAACTTATACGAGAAAATGGTAAAGAACCAATAGTCCCCTGGGGGCCCCTCTACAATATGTCGAACGAAGAACTTCTAGTGCTACGAAAGACCCTAAATGAGCTCTTGGATAAGAACTTCATTAGGGTTAGCAAATCCTCAGCAGCAGCACCAGTGCTATTCGTACGAAAGCCAGGAGGAGGGCTCCGTTTCTGCGTCGACTACCGAGCGCTAAACGCTCTCACAAAAAAGGACCGCTACCCCCTTCCCCTGATTCATGAGACGCTGAACCAGATCGGACGAGCGAGATGGTTCACGAAACTCGACGTATCAGCCGCGTTCCATAAGATCCGGATTGCCGAAGGAGAAGAATGGAAAACCGCGTTTCGTACGAGGTACGGACTTTACGAATGGCTTGTTACCCCCTTTGGCCTGGCCAACGCGCCGAGCTCATTCCAGAAATATATCAACTGGTCCCTACGAGAATACCTAGACGATTTCTGCTCCGCCTACCTCGACGATGTATTGATCTATTCGGAAGGGAACATCGAAGATCATCGAAAACACGTAAAGAAGGTCCTCCAGAAGCTACAGGAAGCTGGCCTACACTTGGATATTGGGAAGTGCGAATTCGAATGCACCGAAACCAAGTACCTTGGCTTTATCGTACGAGCAGGAGAAGGGGTTAAGATGGACGCTGAAAAAGTGCAAGCGATACTCGACTGGGAAACACCAACCACAGTCCGAGGCGTGAGGGGATTCCTCGGCTTTGCCAACTTCTACC